TGGGGTAAAGGAGGACAAATGTGGATTGATAAAGAGTCATAAGCACAGGAATTGCAAACAACTCCAACCAATGACGTCCACAAGTCAATAACAACAAAAAATACAATTTAAGAGAAAGGTGAAACAAAGAACACGAATCTAAGGGCTCAAAAGCAGGATGAGACAATGCATGTAAAAATAATTGTAAAATCCCAACTTGATAAGTAAAAAGGTCATTTGGGTCAAAGAATACGAAGGGTTTTGAGTAGACATAATAGTACTGAGGATTCAAAACAACCTTCTGATACTTGGAATATCAAAAATAGTGGATAAGGATGCTTTATATAAAGCAACTATAAGCGAAGCAAGACAAAATTGGGATATGGTAGATACTTTAGGATGAAGAGGTTGAAATTCCATTTAAGACACCACTTATGATAAGTATTCCTTTTCTGTTGATAAATGGCTGTGGTTGGTCTATGGAGAGATTTAGTTAATTACAGATAAACCATAGAAGTTAAACCCTTAAGTTGGGCAAAGACCCGCATAACTTCCCAGCATGAAAATTGAGTTTCCAAACACCTGGGTAGAAAATGTCTGATTGAGGTTTTCTCAGACTGCCAATGTGGAAGAGGAAGACGTAACTGCAACTATCGAAGAAGCAGAAACCATGTTTGAACTGGCCAATATGGTGCAACCAAGATAAATCGATAGAGAGTGGAGCAAACCATATTCAGAAACCAGGGCAATAGCCAAATCGGGAGAAAGGCATACAGACGTAAACCTGCCCAGTCCTGACTGAAAACATCTACTGACAACACTTGAGGATGAGGTATTGGAGACAAAAACTGAGAGCAAATCTACTGAAAAACCTTGTGATACATCATCCATTTTTTGGAAGAATCCGGATGGATTGAAACAAGTGATCTGCAATTAAGTTCATCACTCCTAGAACATGACATGATAAAAGACTATTACAATATAAATGAGCCCAGTAGAGAAGATCCAAGGTATTGAGAATGTGTGCCTTCTTGACAAGAAATCTGAGATACCACCATGACAATTTTTCCCTTCCAGAGAGACAGACCTTGAACCACTGCATGGTGTACTGCAAGGGGTCAAGAATGTTGATATGGAGGGTAGACTCGACTTCCATCCAAATACCCTGGAACTCCTGACCTTGAAGATAAGTTCCCCATCCCTGAAGAGATGTGTCTATGAACAGATAAATCTCAGGATGAGGTGGTGGAATGGGTACCCCAATTGTAGTGTTGTTCCAATCCAACCATCATTTCACAATCAATGTGATGTTGCTCCTGAGTAATGAGACAAGGTGATCCAGAGGATTGGAAAGCATGATTCACTAATCATGCTCATATGAGCTCATCCCAAAGGAATGAGAGGCTCATGGGATGCCCAAATCTCCAATAGAGAGAGAATCATCCGTGCAGTAGGAGGAAACACAAGTAAAAGCTTGATGGCTCTTTCCATGGTTTGAAGCCTGATAAGGGTTGGTTGAGCACGACTTAAAGAGTATTGAAAAACACACCCAGATGGACAAGATACTGTGTTGGTGACAGCACAGATTTCTCCAGTCTGATAAGAAAGCCCACTTTTGTGGCTTCTGAAAGAAGAATTTTAAAATGTTGTTCTGCTATTTGATGGGATGGTGCTAGTAGAATCCAATTCTCCATATGATTGTGTGTGTACATTTCCAAGGAATGTAGATGACAAAAAAACTTGAACAACTCTGCAGAAGACATAAGGTGCTGATGCAAGACCAAAAGGTAGAGCCCTGAACTGCAGAACCTGCTCTTTATGCATAAATCTTAGAAACTTCCAGGAAGATTCCACTATAGGAATATGGAGATAAGCGTCGATAACATCAAACTTGATCATCTAGAGCCATAGCTCAAACTAGATTGTGAAAGAATTCCACAGTAAATCAAAGAGGAAATAAAATTATCCAAATGAGGTGTTTATATACAATATCTAGATAGAGAGCACACTGAAGTTGATAGAGAAATTTGTAAATTAGAATTTGCCAAGGGCACTCGAGTGGAAACCCTGGAGATCGAGAAATAGCTATAGTGTCAGTGGAGGTAAGTATGTTTTGGAACAAGAGCATATTCCATTAAAAATACATATTAAACAAGTAATTACTTCATTCAATATTTTGAAGCCAAGATGCACTGTGTCAGTCTAAGTGATATATTCTGGCATTTGTGAAAAAAGAAAATAATGAATCGTACTTCTAGATAGTTTTGCTTCAATCTAGAATACACCCATTTTATATATAGGTTTACTAATTATCATTGATATTCTAAACCATTTTGAAAATGTGAAAAGTTTAGCATAAATAGATATTTTAGACCTATCTTATTTTTAACTTGAGTTTTGAAAATTCCCATTAATAGTAATTATATAAACTATAGTAATGGTTATTAAACATCCTGGAGACTTAATGGAAAGTTGTATGTCTGATGTCAAATGTTGTGAGAATAAGCTGAAGCAATTTCAATGAAGTTTGGTAAAGATGAATTCTACAAAAATCAAGTATATGTATAAGCAATCAGATGAACAGTTCAAGATTGGTAGCCGTACATTCTACTGCCATACCATTAAAGTCTGAGTGTTGAACTGATGTACCAGTTACATGGTTTGTTTTTTATTGCATTGCACAAACAAACCCCCCCAAAAAAGTACTGGATGACACTGTTTGAAACTCACCACCAAGCTAAACTTTAATCACTTTGTTTCAACCTATATGAGAGTCTGCTGAATTAGAAGCCATATTGAGTTGTACATTTGAAAAAATATGTTTAGATCACTATCCCATGCCTTTCCAAATCTGAAGTGTGCTCATCTTATATAACACCATAACAACAGGGTTGTGAAACAGCGACCGACTAAAATAGATAAAACAACATTTGTGTTGAAGTTACAAGATTTAAATTTGTACAGTTTTGTTCAGAACTATCTCAACTTTCCTTCTAGTGGGCTATAAATAACATATTATGCTCATAACAAATTCAAAAAATTCATACACTTATGTTTTTGTAAAGAATCTGCTGAAATCAACACAAAATCAAATCTGATTTTAAAAAACTTTTAATAATAAATATATAAATAAAACTTTTTCTTACTGAATAAATTTTAACACTTAGCAGGAATAACTGCTGCAAGTTTGTTTTCTATAAATAACTTTTAAATCAATGGTGCAATTTTTTTCTCAAGCAATGATTGTACTTAACAGGGTATCACAGGGTTAATGCTGAAAATGAAGGCTCAAGTGAGGAAGGTGGTCAGTATCAAAATATGTAAAGACAATGCCAAATGAAAGTAGCATTGAATGTCTGTGTAACATGAGTATATTTCTATTGGACAAATGGTTTTTGGGCTATGGCTCAAAATAGTGAGAGAAGATACCACACACCCAAATTTATAGCATTATGTTTCAAGCTCAGCATTTCTGGATAACTTTGCTACAAATTTTTTAAGAAACTGGTAATATTTTTTTTTTCTGTAAAGGTAAGCTTAAAAATATTTTTGTTTGCTATAACCTTAAACTGTGGGTAAGAAGGTAGATAATTTTCTTTTTTCTTCCTATCTGATTGTCAAAAAAACATTTCAGAAATATCAGTAGTTCTGTTACCACCTAAAATATAACGCAATAGACCATGAATACAATTACTATCAACATATATTCTACAAAGAGAATTACAGAAATTCTTTCACAACACACACTTGCTGGTCGATATCGACCTCGACTGACAAAGCTGAATCAAGACGCACAGTAGTGTGTCATGTGGCCCAAAAACAACCTGCAGGACACACTGTGTGTTATTAACAGGTGTGATGGTTCAGGAATTTTTCACCTTCTAAAGCTCAGACTGTGGTAATATAAATTATCACATATTTTACATTGGATGTGCTCTACTGGACCCTTACTTCACTTACCAAATTTCAAGCAATGCAGTACAAAATACACAAGATATCTCGAATTTTGATTGAAGTTCTTTCTATTTTTTTTTCTTTGCACCAAAATTACAGAAACTTTATGTGATAGAAAAATATACTTAACTTTTATGGACGTTTTTCAAATTTGGTACACTCATACATCTTTATAACCTACAATTAGGTGTCAAATTTGGTTTAAATATAAGCCACATGTGGAAAGTTATTCAACAAAACTAGTTCAATTTTGAATAACATTTTTTCACACACCTACACACTGACCAATCAGCATTGAGCTGTCGACTGGTAATCAGGTGAGGTCCTCCCACATCATTGCGGACTACATGAATGTCTGAGAAAAACTATTCTAACCATAATATGGTGGCAAAAATTTTTAAAGTCACCAAATTTTGTTAAATGGATTGGTATATCAGCAGAAAATGGTGAAAATAAACATTTCCCAGGTCATAATGTCAAAAAAATCTCTCAATCAGCCCCAGTTTCAGACGGTCGGTCGAGTTATGGCAAACAGAAATATTTTTAGGCCTGGCCAAAACAATGTGAACATTAGAGACTTTTGTAATACTTATAGTAATGTCTTTCTCACTGTCTTAAATTTAACAGACCAATTGACTTACTTACTATTCCTTCATCATTTAAGATTAAACTACAAAACTGTACAAGAAGTTTGCATATTTTAGTTTTACTATGCTTTCCTACAAGTATTTTAGATGCTGAATATGTTTCAGACAAAATATTACAAAATTTAATGACAAAAAACTCCTTCATAGCTTGAAAAACAATGTAACAACAATAAGCAACATAACTAATTAAACTAAAAATATCACCAATAACGTAATTTATACTAGTATGATCTCAAATAAAGCATAGTACAAATGGTATTTAAATTTAATTTAAAAAAAAATATATATATATATATATATATATGTATGTATATACAGTAATCAATCCAATTCTCAAGATTCATTAAAAATATGGTTAATGGTAATACACTGCAAAATTTAATAAAACACTTTCAAAAACTTGGAAAAGAAAAATCTTACCTGTAACAATGAAACAATTTCCACTTTGTTAAAAAATATGAAAGAACTCAAAGTTGAAAGCATGTTTTCCTCAAATACAGATGGAGTAGGGAGCACAGCATCTTGAATATACTGTACACGATAGGTTTGGTGTATTTTGTTCACTAGCTCAGGGTTACTGATGGATATTACCTCCTTAAACTTGGAAATAGTTCGTAAATAGTCTCTATGTTGCTTTGGAGTGGGAGATGAGGGGTCATATTCCAAAACACCTACCACATCAAAAATTGTGTCATCTGCAAACATGACTTCAAATAATGCATTTTTGTTTAAAAGAAAAATATTCCTAAATATTTCATACAACTGATGAAGACTGTCTATGTTTTCCAAATCTTCACACATATGAAAAACTTCTAAGAGTTTCTTAATGTAGTTTTCAGACTCAAGAGCAACGGCTAGTTTTTCTCGTCGAATGGGAGATGGCAAGCAACTGCTTATTAATTCACTAATTTCTTCTAGTCTGCTGACTTCACAGGGAGGGAGCTCAATGGGCGGTGCTGTATCAGATACATCTTCATATCTTTCGTCTTCTGATTCTTCAACTATATCCTGTGTAATTTCTACAGAAGGATCTTTTCCTTGTACCTAAAAATTGTAAAACTTCAATGAGAAAAACTTTTAAAGAACACATTCCCTTTCATTAACTATTTTCAGTTCAAATATATGCCAAATGAGATTCAACATTTTTCCCTTTCATTTGACACAATGAGAAATTGATCAAATCAATCTCTTAAAATTCTACAGAGGTTTCTCTCACATCCATACTAAAAAAACATGCAACAGACACATTCTTGGTCACTAATCATAAAATTAACCCTTTCTGTGTGGGGGGAAGGTGTCACTGATATCTCTTGATTTATCCATCTCCTTTAGAAATTCTTAACTCTTCAAACACGGGTCAATCAATCTGACCGAGTCACGTGACCTTTTGTACTCATTTAAAGCTGATATAAATTTAATACTTATAACTCTCTATATATATTGGGTATATCTTCACGAAATTTAACAGTCTTTCAGTTAATATTAGAAGTCTTTCACATATAAAAAGTCATATTTTTAGTGAAGTATTTCTAATAAAATAAAATAAAGTTTCGTCCATGAATATATTGAGTATTTGTTTTGAATAGTCCGTGTACAAAGCAATTTTCATGTTAAAATTAAAGATACTTTTTGTCATCTCAAAAAATCTCAAATTTCCTTTGTATAATCTCTAAAACCTCCTAAATGCATTTCAAACGTTTTTTTCCGCTAAATATAAGATTATAAGTTATTTTCTCTACCCTATCTCAAAACGGTATCGGTCAATTCGACCAACCTCGTAACCACCACAAAAATCAAATAAACC